AGTTATGTGAGAAATTCTATGCTTTCCCTCCTTTGTTTTAGAAAAAAAAAAAGAAAAAAAAAAAGAAAAAAAAAAGGAAAAAACACTCTACCAAATAAAGTGTTCCATCAATTTAGAAGACAAACTTTCTTTTGAGGGAATAGTTTTTCTGACTAAGCTCTACTTGTATTGCTCTCATATTTGATTGATTGAAATCCTGAAATTAGTTTGGAATACGAGTAGTGGAATTTTAAATAACTAACTAGCCTATCTTCTAATCAATGTTTGTTTGTTTGATTGTCCATTAAATTTTGCCTTTTCCTTTGAGTGATTTGCTGCTTTCCAACTTCATGCGAGAAGTCCTTTGCCTTAAACAGTTATTAACCCGTGAGGATATGGAGTTGAGGCTTTTACTTTGATTAATTCTCAAGGCTATATATGTTGTGGCTTGTGGTATGAAGGTTATGCTTAGTTCACACACATACACTTTTGGAAGTTACAATTGAAGTAATCTTGATAGCGACTGTGATCTTTTTCTAAATGCCTAGGTAATCTTACTAGATACCCTTTTGAGCTAATTAGCATGCTTTCTTTCTTAATTCACGCTTGAATTGCTAGAGACTAACAGTTACTGATAGAACCAGTTCGTTTCTATTATCCTGCTAGTGGGATTATACACTAGTAATCGTGTGCCTGCCAGTGGGAGGTTTATAACACTGGTCATGACTAATAAAGGAGACCACTACTTAATTTTATTCTGCATTAATGGTTTGTTATTGAGACGCTCTGCTTATGTTTAAACTGTTTATTTGGCATGCTTAAATTTTGATCCCGGGCATCCATATTTACTTACTGAGATATTTTATCTCATAGTTTTCCTTGTCCACCATTTCAGATAGTGAAACCCAACGCATGGGGAGCCCGGGGGAGTGACGAGCTAGACGGCTAGGCATTATTTTGGACTTAGGTTTTTGTAGCTAGGCCGCTAGTCACCCATGCTCGACTTAGAAATTTTTGTGTACAGAACTCCCTTAGTTATAGTCATGACTGTATAGATGAAGTTATAAATCTTTGTACATTTTGACTAGTAATATTTAGGGAAAAAAAAAACTAGATATTACTTGAGTTTCTAAATCTGAATTATCTGAATTAGTAATTATGAACTCAGTAAGTTCCTAGACAAGTTTTAGAATTTTTGGTTGGTGGTTAACTCTAAATTCCTAGCTTCTTGCTATTAATTTCCAGTTCTATTAAGGATCCTGTTAAGGACACTACTTCCTTACTAATTGAGAGTAGCCTTTGCTTTTGCTGAGAGGAAAAGAAGATAAGTCAATACCTAATACACCAGTAATTTTGTTGATTTATGCTAATTTGTTCCTAATTCAAATCTAGTTTAATTTTGTTGGTAATTGCTTCTTCTTTTTCTTTCTTTCTTCTTGATTATAGTTTCTTTCTTTAATGCTATTTATTTGGTGTCCTTTGTTGAAGTTTGGTTTTGAAAAAAGGTTTGAATTTGATTAATTTGGGTATTTATGTTTTGGTTCATGTGCTAATTTGGACTACATAGTTTCTTCATGTTGATATGGTCTGCTTGGTTGCTAGGAAAGTGGAGTAAAAATGGAGCAGGAAGAAGAAAGATGGAATTTTGAGAATCACAATTATTGTATTATTATATATATCAAGAAAGAAACTCAGCTAATAGAAGGTCAAAGTGACTTTCTAGAATTAGCTGGGTTAGAATGTTGGGTTTCTCACCTTTTGTTTCAATTAAAATTAAAAGGAACAACTGCATATATTTTCCTTAGGAGCTTAGGGCACTTTCTTCCTCTTTCCTCGTACAGTGATTTGCTTATGCTTGCAAATTATGTTAGTTTTGGTATATGAATTTCATTTCATTTTTCTTACATCATATTGAAACATGAAGGGACATCTCATCTCTCCTTCAATCCCATTACCACAAATGAAAACTAATTACTGTGACCTTTCAGGTGCATTTGGGGTAAAAGATGAGTACTTCGGATGTAACTAGAGCTGAACTTGCTTTCATTGTTTTGTATCTGAATCAGGTTGAAGCAAGAGATAAGATATGCAAGTCTATATAGTATGCTTCAAAATTCATTAGTGAAGGGAAGCTTGGCATAGCCCAAAATGTTGATAAATCATCCAGCTTGGCAAGGAAAGTTTTCCAGCTTTTTAAGGTTTGGCTACATCTTACAATGCAAAATAAGAAATTAGAATTATTTTTATTCAATATCCTGGTAATGGTATTATCATGAGTTTAGATTGTTAAATTGGAAAAATTTTGAGTGAGTTTATACATCTTATGAGAAAAGTTTTTCTTTTAGATTTGATCTATACTCTTACAAATCTTGAATCTTGCTTGATTTAAGCTTTACGTTGTTAATTTGCATGCTCTTATTAGCCCAAATTCAAATTAAATCTCCCATTTCCTCTCTCTGCTCTAATAATCTCTTTCGCTTTCTCTCCTAATTTATAAGAACACAAAAACATCGAACTCTGTTGCAACAAAGATGAGTGCCACTCTCAAGTATGTTACAGATCTCTACAGTCTTCTTTCTCTTCATTTCTAGGATTAATATCACGTTATCATTATCATTTTTGCTTGTTTGATGATTCTCAAAGCCAAGGAAGCAAGCCAACAGTAGCTGCAACTTATGAAGGGCGAAGACATCAATGACGAAGAAGACTTGTTTGAAGCAATCGATGAATGTTGACTACGAGATTCTTGGATTTTTGCCTTATTTCTTTTTACAGTTACTGATCCTCAGTTTCCATCTGTTTTAAGTCTTTCATGTACTGATTCTAATTTGAAATTTGAGTTCGAGTTTAGAAGATTTGTAGTCATTTCTTTTAAATTTGGTTTTTGCTTATTCTCCTAATGATTGCACTTTGAATTAGTGTTAGTTTCTGCTTTGGTTTCACTTGGGTTAAGATCGTTGACGTTAGATTTGAGTTTAATTAGTTATATTTCAACATCAATGTTAATTAGAACTACGCGTACTTCTCTAAATTTGTTGCGAGATTCATTGTTGAAGTATCATATTTTGAAATTGCTCTCTATTTCTTGTTTATAGTTGATTTACAACATCTTCAAGTGTCCTTCAAAGTTAGGGTGTGAAATGCACTACATTGTGTGCAGTGATCTCTGTGAAAATTGTGCATGTGGGCTTAACACAAGGTTTGCATCCAACCTAAAATCAATTGGCAATAGGTGGAATGGCTTTCCCTGTATTTAACCCACAAGCTTTTTACTTTTATACTCGATATGGGATTTTCTCACTTAACACGTCCCCTCACGTGATAGGACCTGACAACGTGCAGACCCACTATGAATGTCGAGTCCTGGCATCTGACTTAACACGCTCCCTTACATACAGGCCCGGTATCAACTTCGGGTCCTATCAGGTGGGTTAACAAATGGGTTTCTCAGGACAGAATTTGGGCTTTAATACCATGTGAAAATTGTGCATGTAGGCTTAACACAAGACTTGCATCCAACCTAAAACCAATTGGCGATAGGTGGAGTGACCTTCCTTTTATTTAACCCGTAAGCTTTTTACTTTTATACTCGATGTGAGATTTTCCCACTTAATAGTATAAAAGTAAAAAGCTTGCGGGTTAAATAGAAGGAAGGCCACGCCACTATTGATGACCACTTAAGATTTCAAAACAATGACAAATTAAGTGAAAAATATAAAAAGGAGAGGAGTCGCCACTCGTTCAAATTATAAGGTGGGACAAGTCACCTAAAAACATGTTTGCACAGAGATTAGGGTTTGGTTAGGAGTGAGGAAGGGCATACACGCATCTCACAATCATCCGTTTAAACACGGTTGCATGCTTTAACATTGGGGTTTTGATTCAACTTATTCATTATCTATTTACTTAAGTCTTAATAAGTAAGCTTGAAAAATAGATGGACCAAATTGTAATACCTTTTAAACTTTTGGACTAAAATGGACAAAATCAAGGTATGCATGCACCATGAACATAAATAAAAATTAAAAGGACTAATTTGATTAAATTCAAAACATGAAGGATTGATTTGAAAAAAGTTGAGCCCCGTGGACTAAATTGCTTGATTATAAAATTTTTGGGTGAAATAAAAATAAAAATAAAAGACAACTTTGACTTTTGATCAAATTAAAAGAAACTAAATGATTTAAGTAAATTAACTATGCTCATTAATCTAATTAAATGATTAATTTGATATTAATTAAATGATTAATTTGATATTAATTAAAATTAATTAAAATTAAGTAATCATATTTATTACCCTTTAATTAAGATCATTAAATAAATCTAATAATTTCAAATTAAAGTCAAATAAATATGATTAATTTATTTTAATTAAGATTAATTAATTTCATTAATCATAAATTAAACTAATTAACTTAATTAATTACTAATATGTGTTTTTTTTAACTGGATCGGGTTTGATCGACCCGCTCCAAAACACAACCCAAAAACACAATCCTTCAAACAGATAAACATAAAACAAATCAAATCTTGAAGAAAAACTGAAATCCAAACGACATAAAGAGAAATTTAGAGTTCATCATTTTACTTCTCATTTTCAGCAAGAAACAAATTCATCAGGTAAAATAAACAGAACAATCTTTGATTCCCATTCATTTTCCAACAACTAAATACAAGCTTAAACACAGATCTAAACAAAATCAACAAAAAATAACAGAAACACCCACGGCGGAATTTTTAGGAGGAGGTAAATCCAGATCAGAAGGGCGGGATCCCACCCACGAGACCAGGCTCCGTTCGTCTCCTTCACTACCCTTCCCCAAAATCCCTCTATTTCAGAAAATACCTTCAGCAATGAAACTCAGAAAATGAAGCTTCTCTGGAAGCTCAGTGATCCTTCCTCTCAACCGCCGTTGTTGCCCCCTTTCTTCTCCACTAAATCCCCTTCTACTGCTCTCAAAAACTCAGACGAGACTCCCCAACAAATAGACCCAAAATCAACCAAAAAGCCCCCCTCGACCTCCCTGTACTCTGCTTTTTTGCTCTATATATGTACCCAAACAACAAAATAAAATAAAATGAAAAAGCCTTGCTCTGTCAATCACTAATGATGCCAATTTTGTCTAGTATTGGCTGTTTTTTTCTGTATGGCTGTAGCATGCAGGAGGCAGGGGCGCGTGATTGGGCGCAGAGTGCAGGAGGTGTAGCAGCAGGGGCGCAGGCGGCAAGGCAGGGCTCGGTGCAGATGAGGGTGCAGGCATGCAAGGGGTAAGGCGCGTAGGCGTGCAAAAGGGGGGGTGTAGGAGCATGATTGCCGGTGATGGCAGACGGGGGGCGCCGGCTCGTTTGGGAAGGAAGCTGGTTTGGGAAGGAAGCTGGTTTGGGAGAGAGGAAAGTAAAGATGGAAAAGGAAGGGGAAGGTTCGAGATGCCTTCCCCCCCTTTTTTTTGTTTTTTATATTTTTTGGGTTTTTTAGTGGGTTTTGGTTGGGTTTGGGATAAATGGGTTTTGTGTTTTAGGTTAAATGGGCTTTGGGTTTTGGGTAATCATGGGTTTGGGTAAATTGTGGGTTCTTAACTTTAATGCGTTTCACCCTTCAACTTTCCATCTCTTTAATTAAGTCCCTCATCTTAATTTTCTTCATTCCCGTTTTGTCCCTCATCTTAATTTTCTTCATTTCCCTTTTCCAATTTTCTTCACAAAAATCCCCTTTCTTGAGTTTCTTTTCCATTTGTTCTTGAATTTTCCAATTTCTTCTTGAATTTTTCAATTTCTTCTTGAATTTTCAAATTTCTTCTTGAATTTCTTTTTGCATGTAGCACTTGAAACAAAATAAAGATATATTAGTCGAAGAAAAGAGAAATTTTCATATTTTTATATTTTTTATTTTCTTTATTATTTTTTTCTTTTTTGATAAAAATTTGAGTTATGACATCCACCTATCACCAATTGGTTTTAGGTTGGATACAAGTTTTGTGTTAAGCTCATATGCACAATTTTCACATGGTATTAGAGCCCAAATTCTATCCTATGAAGCCCGTTGTTAGCCCGTTGTTAGTCCACCTGACAGGACTCGAAATTAAAGTTGATGCCGGACCTGCATGTAAAGGGGCATGTTAAGCCACGTGACAATACTTGACATTCATAGCGGGCCTGCATGTGAGGGGGCGTGTTAAGTGGGAAAATCCCACATCAAGTATAAAAGTAAAAAGCTTGCGGGTTAAATAGAAGGAAGGCCACTTCACCTATTACCAATTGGTTTTAGGTTGGATGCAAGCCTTGTGTTGAGCCCACATGCACAATTTTCACAATCTCTATAGGAATCAATGCTAGGGATGTGAGGAAGCTTCATAGGAATCAATGCTAGGGATGTGAGGAAGCTTCAAGATGCAAGGATTTGCACTTGCAATGGCTTGATGATCCACACCAAGAAGGTAAAGCAATATTCAATTTGAATACGCAAAATTCTAAAGATTATGTTGCGGGCTTGCCTCTTTTACAATTTTGTTAATCTTCCATTCTCACAGCACTTGATTAGAATCAAAGGCTTATTAGAGGCCAAAGTTGACAAAATCTGCGAAGCTGCTGAAAAGATAATGGTTAGTCTAGACTTGACAAAATATTTTCATTGGATTGATTTGGCTTTGTCCTGGTATGATGTTCTACTTTCTTTTTTAATGTAACATAGAATTTCAGTTATATCATTGAAAGCGATGCTTTGCTAAGAGTAAGTGCGAATTTCCTTCTACTTTGTTAACAAATTGCATGCTCTTGTTAGCCGAGTTCCTCATGGAACTCCCCTTCCACTTGTTCTGTTGGGGAAGGCACAATTGTACTGTAGAGAAACGTTTTCCTATAATTCTTCTCCTTTGGACTTTTAATTGACTCTATTTTTGTGATGAATTCATTAATTCTTCTTTTACCCAAAGAATGCATTATTATCGACTTTCTTATTTCTCGATCAAATTGTTTGGCTTGGCAGAATAGGTATATATTAGGTATGAAGTTTACTTTATCAATATTTGATTTTATATAACTTGTGGGTAGATTATGTAAGAAATGTTAACTAGAAAAAAAAACACTGTATTATTTTTCATTGAACAAGAAACGTGCTGAGCTACTTGGGCAGATATCCCTTTTCTATTGAATGGGTTCTTCAATTTGTGGCAGCTTGGTTGAGGTTTGTTGATCATTATTATTAGTTATATAAAGTTCTCTCTAGCAATAATTGTTTTGCCATTAAATTCTTCACAAGCTTTAGATCTTTATATGATGTATTCTTTTTAAATCAACTTGGGGAACTTGGGAAGCTTTAAGCATCAATGAAAAAGTTGGAGAAGTAGCTAAAGAATAGCGATAAGTACCAAGTACGTTTAACATAATTACTATTTTGTGTGCTCACTGTTGGGATTCTCTTATTTGAATTTTCATATTATATGGTGGTGCATAAAAAGGGCAATGAAGGAATGGTATTGTTTGATGGAAAATTTATTTTATGAAGGTTTTTGTGTATTGTAAAATGGGTTAGAGTAGTCATATTTATATGAATAAAAGTGTGTTTTTACTGTTCAAAAAAAATTTACAAATGGTTTTTCCCAATACAACAAAAAAATAAGTGCAGGAGAGATTCATAAAATAAAAATGAATTACCAATTGTAAAAAAAGAAAAAAGAGAACCTATACTGATGGAAAAAGTCATCTGTGTAGATCCGTGGTCTGTACAGACATAAAAATCTCTTAAGATTTCTTAAGGTCTATACCAACGGACAAGTCTTCCATCGGAGTAGATCATAGGAGTCTATGCATACGGATTAATTGTCAGTATATACCCTATACAAATGAGGTTTCTACCAATTGAAAGCTCTTTTGTCAAAATAGTCCCTGGGGAGGCAAAAAAGAGTGTCTATAGACGAAAGACTTCCGTCGCTATAGATACATCACTACAAGTAAATGCCTTATACTAACGAAAGTCTATACCAACAGACAGAAATTTGTTTATATAAACCATGTATACCAACAGAAAACTTAAGATGTCAGTATACATCAATCTATACCCACAAAAAAATATATTTGTTAGTATAGGCTTGGTTTATACAAACGATTTAGGGTGCATTTGGGATTGCTGTGAAGTGCTGTGATTGTAATTGTGACTGTGATTATGCTTAGTTGTGGTTGTGCTGTAACTGTAGCTGAAAGTTGTTGTGCTGTTTGGTTACTTATTTTTTAAAAATATTATAGATAAAATATGATAAATTTTATTAACTATTAATTAAAATTTTAAAAATATTATTAGATATATAATTATTAGAATAGATAATATTTATTATTTTTTAATAATTTAAGTTTTTTAATTTGTTATTATTATTAAAATATTATAAACTATGATGTAATTAAGTTATATACAATTAGGTTTTAATGGGTAATTCTGTAATTATATTAAATATTAGGTGTTTTTCGTAAAAGTTATAGTCAGAAAGCTTCAAAATGAGATTTCTGGCTTTAAATATAAAATTACTGTAGATTTATTATGATTTTTTATAATTTTTAGAAAAAATAATCTGAAAAAAAATTACTAAATACATATAAATCTAAAAATACTGTGTGACTACAAAAAAACTCCAAACCATAATCCCAATCGCACCCTTACTAATTATCCATCAATACAGAGTGTATTTATTCCAATGGTAATTATTATCCATTTTTATAAATATATCTCTACAAATGGATTACCATTATGTCTGTATAATTCCCTATTTCTTAAACACATTATTTTTCATTTTAATTTCAGCTGGCTTCATTTTTACTTCCCTCCACGCATTCCCCATTTACCCTCCCTAATTTCCAAGCTTCCTTCCCTAGTAGACCCAAGAGTTTCCGCCTCTTTCCCAAATCTCCAAAATTTGTAATTGATTTTGCTAAAACTCAAAAATCCATTCGAACCCAGCTACAAGATTCATTTCCTTGACTCTAATCAATCAACGACAAAGGGTTTCTTGTAGCCGACCACAGCCCCACTTGCTCTCTCCTCTCCGTCAACCATGGTACCGCCGCCTCTCTCTCCGTTTCCATACGATTCCAATAGGCTGTGCATGCTCACCTTTGCTATTATTGGCTTCATTTTTCGATTTAAAACACGTTTGGTTTCTGAGAAAAAGTGAGGACTCTGCTTGATTTTCAAGTCTCAAAGTTGTATATGTGGGAGATAAATATTTAGATTGAATTTGAAATGTCTATAGTCCAAAATGACTTGTGCTGAAATTGTTTAAGTGGTTTGTTTGATTGCTCAGAAAGAGTTGAAAGATAATGTTGAGCATCCTAATTATTGATTTGCTTGCTTTTTGTATATTTTTGATGCTTGATTTGGTTCAATTAGAATGTTTTGTTATTTCAGATTATAAAAAAATTGGAGATTCCTTTGATGCCTTATTTGCAATTTTTGTATTTCGAAATATTATACAGTAAATTTCAATTCTTTTGTCATTTTCCTAGACAAGTTTAGAATTTTTGGTTGGTGGTTAACTCTAGATTCCTGGCTTCCTACTATTAATTTCCAGTTTTGTCCCCTGAAATATCACTCTACTTTAAGCAAATAACATTTTGGTTGCAAAGACTGATGGAGGTTTTAATCCTACTACTTCAAAGCAAATAACATTTTGGTTGCAAATAACTATCGACTTGTTGAGTGCAAAGCACTGTAAAGAGTTAGAGATTGACGGGATTAGTCCTATTTTATTGTGTGTTTATATTAGAATCTAATTGTTTCATCATTATTTATTTTGTCAGCTGAGGAAGACAACAGCCAAACATTTTTGAAAGATTACAGATTGGAAAATTAGATATTAAGATTCCAAATTCTTCTTATTTCTCTTAGAACAAGAATCTTTAGCACAAGTAATTTATTATTTATGAATTCTTGTTTCAGGCTCTACCTATTGATGCTGCTTCTATTTATGCTGGACTTACTCCTCCTAATGAAATTGTTGTTGTTGTTCATCTAGCAAGTTTCGCTACATCTAGTGCTTCAAAGTACTTGGATCAAAAGAACATTATAAAGTATAATTTGAACATGTCAATGAATATTAGTTTTAAAGATTATAAGAAAAATTCTGAAGACACTCATCTTTAGTCGCAATGTATAACACCTTCATCTCGGAAAGGTTTTGATGGTTTATACTTCTTTTCATTGGGTTCCAAGTGGCCTAACTTGTTTCTAAAAGTTGCTGTTTATAAGTTTTCTTTCTCTTTTGTAAGTAATTCTTAAGATTTCTTAATCATGTTTTAGAGTTTTTGTCTTATAATCTAATACGCTTAAGATACGCTTCTGATCATACAATTAGCTTGGATGACATTATGTTTCGCATAGATTGATTCAAATTGCAAGAGCTGTGAGAAAAGGCTGGTGGTTGTTGGCTCACCTAGAGTTGGAAAGTGGAAGCTCTTGGATGATGAATCGAGTCCGCACAGGATAAGGTATGACTACCTTGGTTACTAGGCCTTTTATTTTTCTGGTAAAGAAACTTCTAACCATAGCCATTAAGAAAACTTTGATCTTTTCATTATCTATTCCTCGACTCTCAGTGAGATATGGTGGCCTTTTATCCTTTTCATATTTTTAATTTTGTTTTATTATCTTGTCATGTGGTCACATTCGGAAAAGTGTTGGTTTGTCTTCTCAACCATTCTCTGTTGCATGTTATGACATCTTTTACGATCGGATTCCCTTCTCCTCCATCCTGGACTTGATCAAAATTTGTACGATGGAGGTTTTGCTTATTGATGTACCCAAGATGAAGGTAGAGCTTTCTCCAGATAAAATGATTCTTAAGATTAAGGTTTGTTCCCCTTACATATGCTTGTGCCCTTTCAAAGACATTGCAGCTGCTTGTGTATGAATGAGCATATCCTTCTGTTATTGGTGAGCATTTGTTCCATGTTCTCTGTTTTCCTGTTACTGCAGGATGTCATGATAATATCTGACCAGTTGGATTTGGTGAAGCAAGCTTACATATATGTCCAAAAAATGAGTCAGCATCTGTTTCCATTCCATGTCAAGGTAACCATAGTCCATATTAATGAATGAAGCACGCGAAAGTGTGGCTAAAAGTTTTGAATTTATCATTTTTTGTTTGAGTTCCTGTGTTATTAACATTAATAATATTGGTTTTTTCATGGATTAGTTATGCCTGGAAATCTCAGTCGAATTACGGCCCATCTACCAAAACTTGACTATAAGTTGCTACCTGGTTCCACAATTAAGCAGCTTAAACTAGAGGTGGAAACATTTTCTTGGCACAAGTACCTTAATATTTAAATGTGAATAACAATCTAATAGGTTGGTTATCTGAAATTTTGGCCAGAACATTTATAATGGTCATGCCTTGACTAACATGCCAATGTGGTTTTCTTAGATGTTTGATAAATATGGAAATCATGTTTTACAAGGCTTCGAAGTTCAGATCAAGGTGGATGGATTTTGTATCCAAGGTCAAGTAGACTCAAAGCATAAGGTCAGCTTCATTTTTGCATGTAGTATTAAGTGGTTTGTGCTCTTTTGTTACACTTTAGGCGCTTTCACAGTAAACTTCGGAAATTTCCTATATTACTGAAGAATGAATAAAAGGCCTAAGGGAATGACTGTATAAATGATATTTATGTGTTAAATCTTTCTCTTTCTAGCCTATATTGTAGACTGACTAATAAGTTCTTTTTACCAATCAAAAGTTATCATCACTCCTATTTTACTTTGATCAGTATCTTGATTTTTGTAATTAGTTAACAAACTTTCATTAACATGTTTAATTAAATGATGAAAAGAATTGTGGTGGATAAAAAGGGCATGGTATTGTTTGATGGGAAATTTATTTTACAGAGGTTTTTGTGTAATGTAAAATGGGCTAAAAGTACCATTTGTTCTCAATATATGCATAAAAGTATGTTTTTGTTATTAAAAAAAAATTGACAAACAATTTTTGCCAATACAGCAAAAAAATAAGTGCAGGAGAGACTTATAAATAAAATAAAATTAAATTACCAATTATTAGAAAAAAAAAAAAGGGATTATACTAATTGAAAAAGCTGTCGATATATACAGATCCTTGGCCTATAGGTGTATAGAGACGAAAGCTTGAGTTTTTACCAATGGAATTATCAATTTGTAAAGGTAAGGGTCTATACTGACCGGAAAAATTCTTTAGATTTCTTAGGATCTATGCCAACGGACAAGTCTTCCATCGAAATAGTCCTTGAGGGTTTATATTGATGGAAAAGGGTGTACACAGACGGAAAACTTTCGTCACTATAGATATATCTGCTTGTAGTGCATCTGCTTGTAGCACAGCAATAGCTATGGAAAAACCCTCTGTGTTTCTCAACAGATAGTGAGACATCTTGGAGTGGCTGTAAGTTCTTTCACGGCTAGTGCCGTCGTGGGATTGTCTTGAAGAAGTATTGATCAAGAAACCACTAGCACTAAGCAATCTCAGCATTCGATTCAATCTCTCTGCAGCTTTGGGATTAGATGTGGGAATGTATGAAACGGTTTCGGTTGCAGAGAGTTGAGCTCCAGGCCCTGCATCTGCAATTATATCGAATACTTTGAGCTCAATGGCAGTTCGAACAACCATTAGCACGGATGCCATGGTTGGAAACTCCATGAGTGAGAAGCAGATTTGACCCTCATGGATTGCCATGTTTGTTTACTCGTTGGCCATTCTTTTTTCCTCCTTTTGAATGTTTTTGCTTTAGAATGTATATCCCACAATCATGGATTATTTATATTGGTAGTAGTTTTTTTTTTAAATTTTTTTACCGAAAATAGCAATCCTAGTAATATATGTAGGGTCTGGCTGGGAATTAAGAAAAATAAAAAAACTGATGATATTGGCGTAGCAGTAGGAGGAGAGAGGCCGTCCTATTTGGATGGATAGTCATTTAAAAATTACTTTGCAATAGAGTAAGGGAAGAAAGCATAGTTGTTAGCTTTTCTAAAAGAGGAAGTCATCTTTTCAATTTAATAATGATTATTTTGATTTTATGTTACCATTTTATGTATTTCTAGGAAATTGTTATAGTTTTTTTTTATCATAAGAAGTTATTATAGTTAAGGGTAAAATGGAAGTAAAGAGTATATTTTTTATATAGTTACCCTAGTGGACATCATAATTGTTATAAAAAAAGTTGTCATATTGGTTCATAATCAAATATAAAATATGGTGCATTTCTACACATTTGAATCATTTTTCTATATGAAATATTGAAAAAAAATAATTTGTGAGGTAATCCCTCATCTTAAAAAATTATTTTTACATCTTTAAGACATATTATTTTTTATTTTAATCCTACTATTTGAATTTATCTATTTTATAATCTATCTAAACCTAAATAATCCATTAGTAATATGAAAATAAAATATCTTGGGTAAAACAACATTATTTGCGAGCGAATTAGGTTAAAAAAAAAAAAGAAAATCACTTTAAATTGTGTAATTTAAAAAGTGAAAAGAAAAAACTATAATAATTAAATACTTCTCTTGATTAATTATAATTGCCCGTACTTTAATAATTAAATACTCCTCTTCGTAATAGTTTTTTTTTTTCTTTTCAAAACCGAAAATAGCAATCCTATTAATGTGTAGGGTTTGGCTGGGAATTAAGGAAAAAAACAAAAAAAAGGCGATGATGTTGGTATAAGAGTAGGGGGAGAGAGGCCGTCCTTATTAAATGAATAGCCAACGAAAAATTATTTCGCAATCAAAGTAGGAGGAGAGAGTATAGTTGTTAGCCTTTCTACGAGTAGAAGTCATCTTTTCAATTTAAAAATGATTTCCGTAAAAAATTGATAAAAAAAATACTAATTAGTTACTAACCCATGCATTCCACAAGTAGGAGGTGAGAGTGGCTTTGATTATGACGATTATAGAGATTATTAAAGTCGTCAATATTTAACTTTTTATTTTATAAATTATATTTTTTATCCATTCCAGAAAGATAATATGAGGATAAAGTTGAAAAGAAATGAGTAAAAAGATAATTTAACAAAACAAAAAAGTTAAATATTGATGTGTTATAACCCAATTTTTACTTTATTTATTTTGAAAATATCGTGATTTTATTACAATTTTTATTTCCCACAAAATTTTAAGTTTTAAATAAAATTACAAAACTTTTGAGTTTTAAGATGTTGTGAGGAATTAACACGAAAGATTTGTTAAATGGAAACTGAGATTAAATCAAGTTAATGTCGTCTTATACTGAATTGAAAAACATTTAAAATAAGTGTTTTGGTTTGTAGGGACCTATTGTTATAGGGATTAAATAGAGGGATTAAAGTGTCAGATTAAACAAACCTATGGAGTAAAGTGCAAGGAACTCCATAAACGACGCTGCTCTGCGAACCCTACCCGCCCACCCCACTTGCAGAGAGGGCAGGTTGATTCTTCCCCACTTCTCCCCGATTCATCTCTTGCCTTCCTTTTAATCCCTCACCATGTGAAGGAGGCATCATTACCCGCAAGCCACGTCGCTTGTTCATCTCCCTCAGCTCACGGATTTGAAGCAACTTGCGGATTGGAGGGTATCTAGGATCCTAGGTAGGTGGCAATGTTGGCCCAAAAGATAGCCGCCCAAAAAGGAGGTGAATTGAATTCTTTGAAAAATCTATGCAATTTTGTAATCAAATCCATGAATAAGTAAGTGTGTATACAAACAATACATGATCAAAAAAAAAAAAAAGTGTGTATACAAACAATTAAATTAAAGAGTAGAACTTAAAAGAGTAAGGGAAGAGAGAATATCAAATACATTTTTTTTATAAAGGTTTAGACACAATTTATCATCATTTCAGTCTTCAAATTCCCTGTTTAAGAGTTTAGTTTGAATTCAAACATTTTTCTCCCACTTACAAGTTTTTCTCCCACTTACAATTAAAGACAACCATCCATCTGTTAATGTTATTTATCTTTAACAACTTACTTTCTTGTTATAATCTCTTTCAAAACACAATTCTAACTAGTAAAAAAGTTTTTTAGATTTAATAAGGTTTTTTCCCAAATATTCTCTTACATAATAAAGAGATCAATAGAAAAACAGAACATTGTAACAATTGAATAAACAATAGAAGGGACAAAAACAAAACTCAGACATTGAGAGCTTTTTCACATGATCAACACCTAGGGTTTTTCTCACATTGTTTTTCCTGCTTTTTGCATCAATCCTGTCAACCATAGTATACAAATCCTTTCAGCCATAATCCTTTCAAAAAAAAGAGAGGAACAGGAGATTGGAGAGAAATTTTTGTGCGTCCTAATTTATGTATGTAATTTCTCCCCTATTTTGTAAACTTGAATATGCAATAAAATTTCATGAAATTTTTGCCCTGTCTTCGAACCATCACTAACAGGTGAAGAAACCTTTTATATTTAGATATCTGACCAACAAGAATAAATGTTTTCTTGTATGACAACATATTTTTACAAATATTTACCCAAAAAAATATATCTTTTACAATTAGTTTGCCTTTTCCAATTCAAGTCGAATTGTCATGACCTACATAGCAGATTACAAGGGGAAAAAAATTCTGCCGCTAATGAAAAGAGGGCTGTAATTCAACCCAGCCACACCTTGTAGAGCTCCAATAGGTAAAAATTGCCATGCGTATGTGATTATACAGGGGTGGAAGAGGACAAGTACTGCCAATTTATTAAGACATCAGCTAAAGCTACAGCAATGTGCCTGACCTTTTCGCTAGTTTGTCCCAAAGACACATCATCTACCTTCGGGATTGGGAATGGGCGTTATAGTAGGTCGGCATGCGGCCATATTGGCAAAACTTCCAGTTGTGGGAGTACTGGACAGGTATGGGAAATATTGAATGTTAAAATATTAATTTGATCCCTTAATTTTTAGATTTATATTAAAATTATTTCTTAATTTTAAAATAATTAAAATTATCTTTAAATTTTAATTTTTAATATTAAAATAATTCTTAAACTTTAAAAATAAGTATCAGCTTAATTCTTAAACTTTGATTACATATACCAATTTAATTTTTTAACTTTGATTATATATCAATCTGATATGAAAACGAAAATATGTCTTGATAATAAAATATGATTGTTTAATTTTACATGTCATTAGTATTTTAAAAAAATTGGTTTTGTAGTAAAATAATGAATTATGTGATATTGCTATTAACAAAAGGAATTTTTTGGTATTAAAAATTAAAGTTTAGGGATAATTTTAATTTTGATACAAATCTAAAAGTTAAGGGACTAAATTGACATTTTAACCAATATTGAATTATTCAATATATCCACGTTGCTCTACTGACATCCTCCATCTTGGCAGGCGGTCAGCAAAAGGAAACATAACTATTCAGTTGATTAAGCCACAGTCTCACATAGGATGACTGGTATTAAAATATTCAAAAGTACACTTTCAATAGAAGAGAAGGTTGAAAGAAATTAAGGACTCTAGGAAATTTAAAAAGAGTAAGAGTTTAAAATTTTAAATTATATGTTTTAAATTTAAATTTTAAATTAGATGAAGAAGAATTTTTTTAAAAAAAAATTATTTTTTCTGTATAACTTACGGAATGTTAAAAAAAAAAAAAAGAAGAGAAAAAAGAAAGGAGGGGAGATACAACTAGCAATGATAATAATAATTAAGAGGCGACAGCATTTTTTGGGGACATTGAAACATAGGTTAGGATTGGATAAGATAGGATTCAAATGATAGAATTGGATAGGATTCAAATGATAGAATTGGATTGGATTCGTCTAGATTAAATTATTTAAAAGTCCAATTATATGTTAGGAGTTTATGAGATCAAACATAGGATTAATTTGAGAACATCCTTGTAGTTTAGTGGCCACCTCATCTTTGTAAAAGGATTTCTCATGCCTTAACTTAGAGGTGTAAGGTTTAAATCTCACTCTAATGTTTAAAAAAAGAAAAATACAAAATTGACTTAAAGTATTTATTTAGAATAATGATTCATGCACACTCATTATCCACACACTCTGTTACACTCTTCAATTTCCATTATTTTCCCGTTAATTACACTTAACTCCATTACCACCTTTTCAACCATCTCCCGACTCACCCAACCCTTTCCATCCTCACCAGATCCATCTTCCTCCTCACTTCCATCCTTATCCTAATCATCTGCAAGACAATTGCCAGCCATTTCCCAAGTTCCCACCTTCTTCCTTTTTTCTTTTTTCTTTTTTCTTTTTTTTGTTTTTCTCTCAAGTTCTCTTGAAAAACCCGACCTGGGTTCTTGGAGAAACCAGACCTGGGCTCTCTTGGAGAACCCGATCTGGGTTCTCAGATCGAGTTCTCCGAGAACCCAGGTCGTGTTCTCTTGGGAGAAAAAAAAGAAAAAAGAAAAAATGAAGAAGGGGAGAACCTGGTACGGGGAGAGTGTAATGGAGACTAACGGAGTGTGGGAGTTATCAGAAAAAAGAGTGTGTGTAACGGGAGTGTGGTACAGTCAAGTGTAAGCCAATCATTGTTCATTTATTTATGAACAAAAATACCCCTTATTATTTCAATTCAGTTTATTTATTAAAAAGGGAAAAAACTTACTAAAAACCTTCAAATTTTTATTGCAATTTTCTATTTCATTTTCTCCACTCCCAAACGGCTACTGACTTCTTAAATACATTTTTCTTCCATTTTCTCAACATCTCCAATACTTTCCATGTTCTTCTTTACCTCTGCAAGCTAGAGTTTTCTTCCTAACTCTAATATTTTGTTTGAGAAGCAAATCAGCAAATCTCAGCATGGATAAAAGAGAAAATAAATATATATATATATATATTTTAATGTATATATATATATAGATTCACTAGAATGTGTATGAGGAGACGATGACATCGGTGTCAAATGAATGAAATTGAAATATGAGATTCAAGTGCCTTTTGAGTGAGAAAAATGAGTGGGATAAATCTGGGTTTTTTTATTTTGGGAGAAAAAGAAAAGGAAAGGGATAATTGGTGACTAATGAAATCAGTGATGGAAGAAGAAGAAAGGGATGACAGGAGATTTACAAAAGGTTTCATGGTCGAAGATAAAATAGATGATCGAAATTTACGAGAATGGAGGTTGGCAGCAGAAGATGAAAAATGCATTTCTAGAGTTGGTGAAACAGAGCAACGCCGGAATCGGTGCTGCTGTGTAGGCATATGTGAGGAGAAAATCAATGGGGAAAAAGAAGTGGTAAAATATGAAAATTCAATGTTATCTCACCTAATCCCATGGGGGAGGTGGGATACATTTTATCAAAAGAGGTCTGGATTGGATAAAATGTAGGATGATGTGTGTCTCATCCCTTCGTTCCACCAAACATAGGAAATAGCAAGACAGGACAAAAACTTTGTCCTATCCTACATTGTATCTAGCACTCCAAACGTGTCGTAAGCTTATAAGGAGAAATTGGTAGCATTAGGAGATTCACTCTTAATCCTCTTCATTCTACAATACACAGAAAAGGAAAGGCATGAAGAACTTTATAAAACCCAAAAGTCTCTCAACCCCATACCTCCAACAAACCAAACTCCATAACCTAGGGAAACAAGGAAAAACCATGTACCCAAACTAAGAAAGTAAACCCATTGCAGTTTATCACCTAGGATCAAGGGATCCTAATCTTAAACAAGAAAAAAAAAAAAAAGAAGAGCAAAAACCACTTAAATTTAGATTGAACAAACTCAATTTTTGGGTAAATCCAAAGAGGTCAAGTTCACCTGTCAACCGGTATCAAAATTAAGCCACATTTTTTATTGCAATAGAGATACTATTCCCTAAACTCCTTAACATATCACCAGCATTCTTGAAAATTTTTTTAGTTTGAATTGAGGTGTTTAGAAGAAATTAAAATAGACAAACTAAAACACCTACTAACATTATTCTTATGAATGAGAGGAGTGGCAAATGCACATAATTTCGAAATAGGTAGATGTTCAGATTCAACATTAAGGCGAAGAATGAGGTGACAGAGAAGAAAAAAAAAGGCAGCTTGTAACCTTGTATTCATGCTGTTACAAGTTTGAACCCTTGAAACAATATCCGAACATAAACTATAAAATGATACTTAGTAATGGACTCCGGGTTAATGAAACAATTAGGGGTGGGGTTAGTACAGAGTTAAAATTAGTCTCAAATAATTAATGCTTATTTGAAATTAGGGGTGGTTGTAATTAGCAAGGAGAAATGAAAGTGAAAAAATGAAATAGTAACCTTTCAATAATTCAAAACTTTTTTAATTAAGGATATGATATTTTTTTCTTACTAATCTAGGGTACTACATGTTTTTAATTAAGTATAATTTCTTTTTAATTTTACAAAAGAAAGATTAAACAGATGTGCACAATTCATATTCTTAATTAGAAACTTTTGAAAAGTGATAATTTTAATTAAGAAAATCACAAAAGTCATAACGGGCTCTGATTTTGGTTCTTGAACAATTTTCTATAGTTTTTTAATCTCTGAACTTAATAATATATAGGTTTTATAAAGAAAAATTATTGGTATACATTTGATTTAATAGATTTTTTAACACACTTTCGATTCAATCATTAAAAATATAATATAAATATAATTAATTCAGTCAATTCTTACATCATATATGCATGATTGTATGTTTAAACTTATCTACTTTTAATTTCACACTAAAAAATGTTGATTTTTTAGTAAGTATATTGTATAGTATATTGAATCAAGTGTATATTAATCATTATCCTTTTATATAATATGTAGATATAAAATCAGTACATTGAAGAACCTTTATTATATCCTATAGGGTTCCAGGCTAGTAGTGAACTTTTGGCTAATGAAAAATAATTAGTACACCTTCTGATTCAACACACCTAACAACACTCTCTAGTTCAATCATTAAAATTTACTTTTGAAAATTTTCTTACTTTGAATTTAAATTTAAAAATATTAATTACTTAATGAATGAACTAGCGTGTGTTGTATACTCTATTAAACCGGAAGGTGTATCAATTATTGTTCCACTAATACATATAAATTATTATTAAGGAAAATAACTAGAGGGGAAGGGAGTATTCCTTTATTCTTCTCTCTGTGGCAAAGTGCTCGAGTGTTCATGCTCTTTCAACCAGATTTCTTGAATTCCATGACATGAAACCCATGTGCCTTATGGAAGACCTTTTTTGGGTCCAGAAGAAATCCTGCAGACTCTGCCAATGCTTTATATTCATCTAATGTTCTTTCCTTTGTCTCAAAATCAGTCAGCCCTCGCACGTCCAACGATGTTACCATTCGTGCCTCTGGGGTGTTTTCAATCTTTTCAGGAACGATAAACTCCAGAATTATTATCTTCCCGTTGTCAACCAATGCACTGGAGAAGATCTTCAACCACTCCTTGCATTTGGCATCGTCCCAGTGAGGGAATACGGACTGACACGCACACAACACGTTTTTAATTATTTTTAAATGAAATAATTAAGGAGAGATAAAAGAATTTTTCTTTTATCACTTAACTCACCTCACTTACATGTTATATTACTCAAATGCAGTACCTTTTAGGTTATTGGCAGCATGATATCAAATTTTAAATAAAAAAAAGGAATAATCATACCTTCAACAAGATTGTTTCAGCCTTTGGTAATGATTGGAACATATCCTCCTTATCCTTAATATGTTTAACGCCTGTATATGCATATATGTGTGTGTGATTCAAATTAATGATGGCGTAAAATAAGCATATATATATATATCACCATATCAGAAAGGCGGATGTAGGGAAAGAGGGGGACAAAAAATCGTACCTTGGATTTTAATGAGATTACATTGACGGACGGTTTTATTGCCACCAGCAACCGCCATCAATTCTTTTACATCTTTAAAGCCTTTGTTCGCATCAAACATTCCATCCAATAGTAATTTGGTGAAATCTTCCATGGCCTTATGGGTTGAATTGGAGTCTTGAAACTCGCCAGGAGTCTTTGAAGAATGCTTCTGGATATTGTGTTTAAGAACAGCCTCCTTAAGCACATCCACACGATCAATTTCAGAGGGACCCCTGCCGAAAATTGAAAACAGATGGGCAACCATGGAAGTATCCTTTGTGTTTCCCGGCGGATAGTGAGACATCTTGGGGAGGCTGTAAGTCCGGCCTCGGGATCGTGTCGGAGAAGTACTGATCAAGAAACCATAAGCACTAAGCAATGCCAGAATTCGATCCAAGTTCTTTGCAGCTTCGCGATCAGCTTCGGGATCAGCTTTGCGATTAGATTTGCGGCGAATACATGAAACGATTTTGGTGGCAGGGAGGTCAGGCCCTTCTTCTGCAATTATGTCGAAGACTTCGAGCTCAATGGCAGCTCGACCTGCCATTTGCACGGTTGTCAAGGTCGGAAGCTCCACGACGGAGAAGCAGGCTCGACATTCCTGGACTGCCATTTTTTCCTTCCCTCTAGTTTGCATGGCTTAGCTTTAGAATTATGGATTATTTATATTAATTTGGAACCGAAGATAGCAATCATAAAAAGTACACAAGGTAGAGGACAACGTTATGGAATGATATACTTATTGTTTGATAATAGGTTCTATAAATAGATTAATGCATAAAAAAAAAATGATAGGGTTAATAGGTTTCACCATTCCACCGACCCTTCGACTTGCTCTTCAATGGCCGTTAATTTCTTTAAAGTTTTATTAATATTTTAGTATGCATTAATATTATTGCTTCCTCTATTTCTTTTTGTACAGTCCTTATAACTTTTTCCTTTTTTTCTTTTTTTATAGGCTTTTTATTTTTTAATCTTTGTTGGTTTTTATTAATTTTTTTTTATTTCTAATTGATTTTTAATTGCAATTATAATTAAAATTGTAAGTTTTAACACCTTAAACTATTAAACTTTAAAAAATTTAAATCTTAACATTATAAATGTTGAATTTTAAAAATTTAAACTCTAATAATCTAAATATTAAACTCTATAAAATTTAAATCATAATACCTTAAATCTTGAACCTAAAAGATAATAAAAACCATAACACATTAAATATTAAACCTTAACCTTGCAACCATTAACCCTAAAAAAGTCTAAAACTTAATTTCTTAAATTAAGATAATTTTATTTAATTTTAAAAACTTAAATAATAATTTTTAAATTTAAAGACTTAAAAATTATAATCATATAAGCATAAGAGTTTAAAATCTAGTTGCATCTTTTCATACATACCGGGAAGGCATTGCCACTCTGCTCGACCTCCAACGGCATGGGGGACTTCGGCCGCAATAGCATTATTCTTCCTTTCATGTGTGCTTTAACTTTTTACAACGTAATTTTAACTAATTTTTTATATCATTAATGATGAGAAAAATGTTTCTCCATCCAACCTTTAAAAGAATCAGTGAAAAAATATTTTAAAATTAAAAATTAATTGCGTATCAATTTTAATTTTTAAAAATAATTAAAATTTTAATATATATTT